AGACCCTGTACGATTTGTGTGCTGTGAGGCCTGTCGTGCGCCTCTGGGGCCATCTTTTAGGTTCTCTTGGAGCTCGTCGGTATCGTTTGCGTCACCTTTGAAATCCCTTGGGATGTCTTGGTGACGTCCTGAAGCTCTCTGTTGGCAGCTTCGACGCCAGAGAACGTCTAGGCAAAGTCGACGCCTTGAGGAGGGAGTTGAGGGTGGGGCAGGCAGCTCCCACGCTGGTACACGAGGGGTCAGCGAATGTTCTCTCAGACTATGTCGTGAGGTGGTGTCAAGCACGAGGGGTTCGGAGATGCAGGCTTTCGCAAAGCAGCCCCGAGGCGTCCAGGCGCGGTCCCCGTGCCGGTGGCGCACTTCTGACTCGGGGCCGTGCAGCGCCTGTGCATGCGCTGGTTGTTCCCGCCGCCCTTCGAGACCGTTCCTCGGCGTCACGTGCTAGGGGCACGCGCGCTGCTCTTGACGCTGGGCCAGCGGCTCCCTGCCGCGGTCGCGGTAGGTGCCGTGGCGGCGAACGGCGATGGCGGGTGACGAAAAAAGGTCGTTATGTAGATTTGTATGTATGTATGCATGCATGCATGCATTTATGTGTGTGTATGTATGCATGCATGCATGTATGTATATGTGTATGTGTATGTGTATGCGTATGCGTATGTGTATGTGTATGTGTATGTGTGTATATATACATATATATATATATATATATATATCAGGGTGAAGGGGGCCAAACGGTCTTACACCGTCCCTGGGTGCGTGTCTGAAGAGGGATTCCGCGGCGCGGATTCTGCTTGCTGTTGTTGTTGTTGGTGGTGGTGGTGTTGTTATGTGTGTTGTTATCTGGTTGCTGTTGATTCTGAATTACGAAACAGTTATTATTGTTGGACCCCCTAGAGGCGCCCTGGCGCTCTCGCCTCGGCGCTGGCTGCATTTCCTCCGAAAATAATGAGCTCACGCTCAGGCGTTTCGGGGGTGCGCCGAAACCGCCACCCCAACAACAACAGCAACAACAATCATTCCAAGACTGTTCGCTCCTACCGGCCCGCGTGTCATTCACTATGCATATCCCAAAACTTGGATACCCGCCCTCTTCGTCTTCGATTGTATCCTTTTAGGGGGTTGGATTCCTTCCTGGCCACGTGTAATTGGAGAAGCCCCTGACACGGAAAACGAATGGGAAAAGACAAAAAGAGAGGACGAAGGGATCGGAGGAAGGGAGGGATTAGAGGTGCAAGAAGGAAGGGCGACGATGGTTTGCGCCGCGAGTTGCGATTTAATTTGCGCCATGGTTTGCGCCAGCCATTCCAGCACAGGTTAACGAAGGCTTCGCCATAGGTCGCACCATAAACAGCGCCATGTAACACCTCTGGTGCTGCTCGGCGAGGTGTTGGGGGCGAATGTGGTGCCCGATGCGATTTCCTAGATCGCTGCAGGGCCAGCAGGGGCCGCGGGCTTTGTTGACACGCGGCCTTCACGGCGAGCGGGGAAACCGCATAGTGGCCGCTGGCTTTGGCACTGCTCAGCGAGAAATGGAAGGCGAAACAGCAATCAGAGGCAGCGAGCTCTGGCACTTGTCTGTGGGATACGGCAACGACATTGGGACCCCACTACATGAGCTATAACGCGGTGGTCACCACGTGCAGGATAACGACCTACGGCGGTGGACATTGTTGTTCCCCGGCGGCCCCGCGGGAGGTGAAGTGGGAGCCCGATTTCATGAATCGCAGCGCTGGGATTCGAACGTGCGGGAATCTTATGAGCTATATACAGTAACGGAGCACCGTTACCACAGCGCTGGGATCTGCGGGGTGGGTTCGGAGCCTCAGTGGGCAGCGCAGTGGGGCCTCTGCGGGCGCGTTCGGGGCCCCTGTGGGCTGCGCCGAGGGTCTCAGTGGGCAGCGTGGCGGGGCCTCCGCGGGGCCTCTGTGGGCTGGCTTTGGGGCCTGAGTGGGCAATTAGGGTGGGCCTCTGCGGGCGCGTTCGGGGCCTCTGTGGGCTGTGGCAGGGGCTTCTGTGGGCAGCGTGGCGGGGCCTCGCTGGGCGCGTCTGAGGCGAGAGCCGTTGTTGTCGTAGCCGGGAGCCCAGGGTGATTTTCTTTGTCAAATATACAGGGTGCGAGCGTCGAGGGGCGCACTTTGACAGAGGAAAAATGCGCACCGGCGGGGGGGGCCAACAGAAATCATTCCTCAGGAATGAAATATCTTTTAGGAATGAAAGTGCAACGTCAGCATACGCGCGAGAGAGAGGGATCGGAAGGAGGGGGGAAGCGGCCCGGGAGGAGGGAGGAGCAGGAAGGTAAGAATGCGAACGTTCGAACAAGTCCTAGGCGAAAGCGCCACTCCACAAGAAAATCTCGGGCGGTAACCCACGACGGGCGGGCGATCCTCTGACGGGCGGGCCGGGCGGGTGGGACATTCAAGCGGGATGCTTGAGTAGGGCGAGAGCGCGATTCCTAAGTAAAGTGCGACGGCATCCTTGGCGCGAGCGTGGTGCCTGAACGTAGATAGCGCGATTTCTGAATAAATTACGAAACGGTCACAGGCGAGAGCGCAATTCCTGAAAAGGGGAAGCCTGGCGGGGGCGGGCGTTTAGACTAAAGCGCAAGGAAGTCGTATTTGGGAGCGTCGTTCTTGAATACATTGTAAATAAGCCTCAGACGGGAAGGGGGGTCTTGGCGAAAATCGCAAAGAAATCGCAAGCGGGGGCGCCGATCCCGAGTAAATTGGCAGGAGGTCTCAAGCGGGGGCGGGGGTTTTGAGTAAAGTTGGAGGAAGTCTTAGGCGGGAGCCGTTGTTGTTGTAGTCCAGGGGGCGCAACAATGCAGTTTGACCCAGATTAAACTGTTAGGAAGTCTCAAGCGGGAGCGCCGTTCCTGAGTAGGAAGGAAGTCTCAGACGGGAGTGAAGGGTCTTGAGTAAATTTAAAGGAAGCCTCAGGTGGGAACTGTTGTTGTTGTAGTCCGGGGGGCCAGGGGCTCAGTTCGACCAGGGAGATTACCCCTTGTCAAAAAACAGGGTGCGAGCGTCGAGGGGCACATCGTGAGTGAGAAAAAACCGTATGCACCGGTGAGGGGATCCAAAACAATGATTTTATAAATGAGAGTTCAACAACGCTCCCGCTCGATACTTCCTCCTTTTTTATTTGGGAGCGGGGCCCTTGCTCGCCGCCGACAGCCAGCTTTCCCACAAAACCAGCGCTCCTGCTCGACGTTTCCTTGTTTTTTACTCAGGACCGGCGCTCCCGCCTCGGCTCCGCAAGCGGCCCCCTCTGCAAACAACGACGCTCCTTCTTCTACTGAAGCCTCCCCGAGGCCCTGAGGCTTTCGTAGTCCATGTTGAACCTTAAGTATGGGAGATTCGCTATTGTGGGGCACCCTACATCCGCACTGGCGCTTTCGCCTCGGCGCTGGCTGCGTGTCCTTTTGAAAATTAGGCTCACGCTCGTGTGTTTCGGGATTGCGCCGGAGCCGCCCCCCCCCCTCCCCAAAAAAAACAACCACAACAACCACCCTCATGCGCGATGTTTCCACACGAAGCATGCGACCATCATGATAACCATCCCCATCATGGGGGACTACTGTCTTATAGCGGGGTCCGTTATTCCGATTCCCAGATTTCCCAGATTTCCCATTCCCAGATTTCCCTTGCAAACACCGCCGAAGAATTTCAACCGGTTCAAGATAGCCCGCCTCTACAACGTGTGCCCGCGCCTTGCTGCGCTGATGCGAGACCGCCATTGGAACCACAGCCAAGGGTAAAGCACAAGGAAGTATCGAGCGACAGGATTGCCTTGGTGGAGATGAGAGCCGTGGTGTTCCGAGGTGTCCCGTTGAGCGAAATCGATACAGAGATCGATACTGAGATCGATGTGGTGCCCCGAGGTGTCCCGTGGTGTCCCAAACAGTGAGATCGATAGTGAGATCGATAGTGATATCGACAAATGTCCCGTGGTGTCCCAAAAAGTGCGATCGATAGTGAGATCGATAGTGGGATCGATGTGGTGCCCCGAGGTCCCGTGGTGTCCCAAAAAGTGAGATCGATAGTGAGATCGATAGTGAGATCGACAGGTGTCCCGTGGTGTCCCGTTGAGTGAGACCGATAGTGAGATCGATAGTGAGATCGATGTGGTGTCCCGCGGTGTCCCGTGGTGTTCCGTGGTGTCCTATGGTGCCCCGTTGAGTGAGATCGATAGTGAGATAGATAGTGAGACCGATAGTGAGATCGAGAGGTGTCGCGGGGTCCCGTGGTGGCCCGTGGTGTCACGTGGTGTCCCCTTGAGTGAGATCGATGGTGAGATCGATAGTGGGGTCGACAAATGTCCCGTGGTGTCCCGTTGAGTGAGATCGATTGTGAGATCGATTGAGTCAGATGTTGGTTCCCTGCCCTCCCCCCCAAAAAAACCTCGTAACCCGAAGGGTGGTCTTAAAGGTGTCCATGTATATCTAGATTTGTACATACAGCAATCGTCCTACACATCGGTATCACTATCTATCAATCGACCCCACTCCCGTCAATACCAATCGACCTTTTAATATCTCGATCTCATCGCCCCAATGTGTATATATATATATACGAATGCGATACAACGGGGAATCAGGCCCGGGAACTTCCGGGCCGGGACCATGACCGCAAATGACCCATTTGCGGTCGTGGGCCTTGGCCCAGGCATCCCAATTTGCCAAATAGGGATGCCCAGGCCCGTCCCGCTCCTGGGTGAGGAATTCGCCTGTATGAGCTTAAACTATGTTGATTTCAGTGTGTTTGTTTCAGTGTGTTTGCGTGCCCGTAATCATCTTGGCTTAGGGCACCCTCTGTGTTCTTATCTTGCGATCGGTCTGACAACCATCATTGCTCGCTTCCGCTGCCGATGTTGGCGTGTCAGTGGTAGCGGAGCCCGTGGATCGAATCCCGCGGGCTCGCTGCTGGCGCGACTGATGTCCGCGCACAGCAGCCGCAGCGGACGAGGTAACAGTGGTGGAGTTTGGAGACCGGTTGAAGCAGGATCGGAGACAAAGGATAGTGCCACCAGTCCGAGTGACGGCGAGGGAGCAGGCTTCACCGAGCAACAGCTAGCGACTCTGTTGAAGCTGATAGGAGAGAGCAGCCGTCACCAGTTCCAGGAGTTGAAGGACGAGCTGCGAAGCCTTTCGCAGCAGAGAGCGAGCACAGGACCGCCAGAGACCAAGACCGAGGCGGTCCACGAGACAGAGGGTGCGGGCCGGCACGCTCGCGACGACCCGTGGGCCCAGGACGACCCGTGGGGCGGCCGGCAGGAGCCAGATGAGCAGCCAGCAGGGAAGTGGGAGCGAGGCACCTCGTGGGGAGGTACACGCGAACCCTGGTGGCAGAGCTCAGACGGCAAGAGCCACGGCTACGACGGGAACAAGAAGGACGACGACGACGGACAGTGGACATGGAGAGGCCACGACTGGAGCTCCTCCAGTTGGTCATGGCACGAGAAGTCCTGGTCCAAGCCAGACTACTCGGACCCAGATCCGTGGATGGGGTGGACAGACTTTCGCATATGGCGCCGCAAGATCAAGCGCTGGCTCTCGTCCACAGACGTACCGATTCAGAAGAGATCCGACAAGTTGTTGAAGACGCTGGACTTAGAGCTCCAGCGCAAGATGGAAGACATCAGCGACGACGTCCTGATGTCAAGTGTAGGCCCGGACCTGATCGTGAAGCGGCTCGACACGATGAGCGGCAAGAGAGTAGATGATGAAGATCGCCGGGCAGCCCGAGAGTGCCTCTTCGGGTACCAGCGCAAGGCGGGGGAGACTTTGTCCATGTACGCCGCGCGCATGGAGCAGCAGTTCGATTTATTACGTGCCCAGGGACTCCCACTGCCAGACAAGTGGATGCACCTCTTCATGGAGGAAGGGGTGAACCTGGATGACAGTGGCAAGCAGATGCTGAGAGTGCTGACGCGCGGCTCGGGCAAGTACGAAGATCTCCAGAACGCCATCAGGGAGCTCGATCTGTCCAAGACCGAGTCCTTGACCGGAGCCGCCCGCACAGCACGCACGTACCTTGGCGAGGACGTCGAAGAAGGCTCTGGCACGTATCACGGAGAGCAGGATGACGAATCTGAGCTGTCGGTGGACACCGACATGGAGAACGAGATATTGCTATGAATCGACTCGGCCGATATTGACGAAGACCAAGCACCTCTTGTTCTAGCAGAGCTCCAGCAGGAGCGAAAGAAGACGTGGGAAGAGAACAAAGTGATGAAGCGCCAGGTGAAGGTGGACAGGAAGTTCTACCCACCGCCCCCTCATCCTGGCGGAGGCTCACGACCAGAACGACGACAAGGGTGAGGAGACCTGCGTCCAGGAGGCGGCCGAGGCGGCATCAGCGGCGGGGCACGCCGCCCGAGGAGAGACCGCCTCAGCATCGAGCAACTGATGAAGGTCACCAGGTGCAAGAAGTGCCGGAAGAAGGGCCACTGGTCCAGAGAGTGCCCAGAGAACAAGCAGTCCTCGACCAACGGCTTCGTGTTTCTGAACGAGCCGTCCGCCGACGCTTCGGGGCTCGTCCTGGCCACTCTCAGCGAGGCGGTCAAGCGCTGCGAGGAGGCCCTCCGCAGTCTCCCCAGCCAGGCGACGGCCCCGGACACCTTCCTGACCACCGAGGGCGGCAAGATCATCGTGGACACCGCAGCGGCGCAAGGCCTCATTGGCCCCCAGTCGCTGGCTCTTCTGGAGAAAAGGTTGAGTGAGTTAGGGTACCAGGTAGTCCGTGTTAAGAGTAGCAACAGGTTTGCCCGGGGCGTTGGGGGACACATTCCTGTCGAATCCGGCACCCTGGTCCCCCTAGGCCTGGAGGGCCGCGGAGGCGTCATGCAGATAGACCTCGTGAATCAGGAGCTCCCGGCACTCATGCCAGTGGGCATGCAAGAAATGCTGGGGGCCGTCATCGATTTGCCCCGGGGCCGTGTACAGTTCACTCAGCTGGGAGTCGAGACCCCACTCGAGAAGCTCCCGAGCGGCCATCGAGTGGTGAGTATCGATCGCTTGGGCCCTCCCGCCGAATTCGAAGTGCCTGCTGCTGTGGCGGCCAAGTGCGACTTGAAGCCGGGGGCCTTTTGCCTTTCTCCCAAGTACAAGGTCCGACCCGATGCGACGAGCGATGGGGGTGTTTCGAGCGATTGCTGCGAGGGCCGGGCCAAGGAGTCGGGGAGACACAAGGGAATCAGCAAGCAGAGGAACCGCCAGACAGTTATTTCGGAGGCCGGAACAGCATCTTCATCTTCAAAGTCCCGAAACTACGTAGCAGTTGGGTCGACTGGGCAATGTGACGGAACCAGGATCCTCGGGTCAAATCAAGGAGGAGGAGACGGAGACAGGAGGTATGGTGGGGAGCCAGGCTCCGGACCGAGCTGTCCGGAACTTGGGCAGCCCCCGGGGGATCTCGTCCAGATGTCGGACGGAGCTCGAAAAACTTATCAGTGTGGCGACGCGCCCCACACGTCCGGCTCAGAGCCCAATATTGTCTTACGGAGCGCCACTCCACCGAGCAAGTCCCTTTCAGGAACCCTGTCAGGAAACCACCGCCCCTCCGTAGCGATCGGCTCAAACAAGCTCTCAGCAGACGCCGACCACGACAACAGCACTACCGACTCGAGTATCCGACCTCATCCACCCGATGAGCTCCCAGGCGGATGGCCCCCAGGTCTGGATCGCGACGAATCAGCCGATCCCCGAAGGCATCACGAAAGGGGAGTTCCGCTGGGCAGCCCTGGCCAGTCGCTCGCTGATACGCGAGGAGACGCTCGGGGCCAATCTTCTGACGATGAGTGTCACGGGCCGCCTCTTCCCGCAGGACTGGCCCAGGAGAATGCGCATCATAGACTCGAGACAGTTGGAGTGCCGTCATCCCCTCGACCAGGAGATGCTGCTGGGCAACCGTCATGCGAAGTGGCACAAGTGCGGCAGCTGTGCCCCGAGGCTGAGCTACGAGTCCACGCCCATCCTGAAGGGAGAGTCCAAGGCGCCGAGGCAGTGTCCTCCGGTGACACGCCCGAGCGCTCGCAGAGCTCGCGGGACGGCGCAGGGCATTCTCGAGTCCAGTATGGCGTCCACGAAGCCGGAGGCCGGAGCACCTTTCACGCCGACGACGGTGAGAGGCTACCGCCCAGGGCCCCCGATGAAGGAGTACGAGCACATGGAGGTGGACGCTCTTCCTCGGAGACGCGGTCGGGCGCCCATGGAGCAGCCCGAGGAGGACACTCTGAAGGCGCAGCAGGACATGCTGAAGACCCAGGAGAAGATCCTGGAGATGCTCGGGCAGGTCCAAGGGCAGGTGGCGACTCAGGGAGCCGCACTGGCAAGCCAGCAGGAGGCCATCCAGTGCCTCCAGGCCCACACCCAGAGCCATGCGCTGGTCATCGCGAACGCCACAACGGGGGCTTCGCAGGCTGCCGCGGCTGCTGCCAGCTCGGGTGTGACGGTGAACGGATGGCAGGACGTCTCGCACCTTTCCCCAGCCGAGCAGATCCAGTACGTCAAGACCTCGGCTCCCGACGGTCCGGTGACGCTCAATCTACCTTTTCCCGGCGTGACGCGCCAGTGGGTGGAGAAGGGCGAGATCTACTTCGAGACGGATCCTGGGACGCTCTTCCTGATCGGTCCGAACCTAGAGGCGGTGCCGGCGAAGCGCCTGAGCTAGGAACGACTCAATGCCTCGACTGGGACAGTCTGACCCGAGAGCTGAAGCTGGAAGGACACCAGGCCGCAGACATACAGCGAGCCGTCGTCAATGAGCTGAGCGCAGACCCCAGTCAATTGTTTTATGTGCCATATTGCTCCGACGAGCGAGGTCAGAGGGCGATGAAGGTAGTACAGAACACTACGTGGATCACCCAAGGCCCCGACGGGGCCTATCAGACACATTCAAAGAGGTCGCTCGACGGAGAATGGCATCTTGCAATTCATTGCCCGACGTGGCATGCCCTTCTCACCGAAGGAGCCGAGTTCAACGACGATTGCGAATCGGCTTTTTCCAAGCATATGGCGAGGGATCTTGGGAAAATGATGGGGATCCTGGGGCAAGCGAAAGGATTGGATATATCCGGTGAGCAACAACCTCCAGACCTCGGAGCTTATCCAGGAGGCCGAGAGCTTCGAGGCTCAGGGTCCGACGCCTCACCAGATCCGCCCCACGACGTTCCTCCCACCGACGATGTCAGAACCCCGTCCTCTCTCTCTTCGACGCGCCAGCAGGAGGGGCCTTTGTCATTTCCAGTCTGTCAGTCGAATAGAAGACTCAAGCGAAGAAGGAAGGACCTTTTTGAACGTGGTTTTATAGGGGGTTTTCTCCCCACCCAGGTTGGCCCCGTCTCTGGAAAAACAGGGGGTCAGGTCCCAGGGAAGCTTGGATTTGCAGACTGGGTGGGACTTTACCCGGGCCTCCCACAGGGCCAGGGCCCTGGTCTTGATCCGAGAAAAGCGGCCCGAGATTTTGATGCTGAGTCCACCTTGCACTGTCTTTAGCGCGATATACCGGGTGTCTCAGAAGCAGATGGACCCTTTCGAGAGAGCGAGGAGGCAGCAGGAGGGGAGAGTGCTTCTGGCTTTTGCGGTCACCCTGGCTCTGGAGCAGTCCAAGGCAGGCCGAGTCTTTGCTTTCGAACACCCCGCCGGAGCGTCGTCTTGGTCAGAGGGTCCCCTGACTCGCCTTGCCCAGGTCCCCGGGGTCAGCACCGTTGACTTCGACATGTGTTGTTTCAATCTGTCTGTGAGAGAGGACAGATCTCTGTGCAAGAAGCGGACCCGCATCATGTCCAACAGTCCGAGCGTTCTTCAGAGCCTAGTAAAGCATCAGTGTCAGGGGAGACATGAGCATACCCTCCTGGAGGGAGGCTCGTACACTCGGCGATCCCAGGTCTACTCCCCGGAGTTTGTGAAGCATCTGACGCACGTGTTTCGAAGGGCCCTGGAGTCTAGAGGAGCCGAGACGAGAGTCTCAGACTTGGTTACCTGGACCCACCGTCGGTTGGGGCCTCACGCCACTGGCCGCGAGACCCTGGATCTTGAACCCTGGTCGTTTCCGGTTTCGTCCCTGGAAGCCGTGGAGGAAGAAGGAGACGTGGAGATGCAAGAGGCTGAGGACCCGGGGGGGCCTGTGGACGATGCTGGGGAGGAGGAGGACGCCCGCGCCGGCGAGGTCGACACCAGCACGGCGGCTGAGCCTCCGCTCGAAGTGGATGCGAGGGTGAGGGATTTAGTTCAGAAGGTACATGTCAATTTAGGACACCCTCGCGTTCCCCTGTTCCTCCGTATTCTCCGAGCAGCACATGCCAAGAAAGAGATCTTAGACTATGTGAAGTCGGAGTTCGCATGTCCCGATTGTGCCGCCCAGCCCCGACCCGCCCCGAGAAGGCAGGTAGCGATGCCACATACCTTCCAATTCAATCGGGTGGTTGGTGTCGACACCTTTTTCGTGTCGTTCGAGGGTCGCTCGATCGCCTTTCTCAACTGTATCGACCATGGTACCAACTATCAAGTTGTGGCTCGATACGAGGGGGGAGCGGCCGGGGCGTGGGCTTGCTTTGTCGCATGTTGGCTTCGATACTTCGGACCACCCGAGCTCCTGGTTAGCGACGGCGGGCCCGAGTTCCAAGGGGAATTTTCCAGGGGCCTGGAACAGCACGGAGTGTACCAACACATCACGAGCGCCGAGGCGCCGTGGGAGAACGGCCGCTGCGAGCGGCACGGGGGTTGGGTGAAAGATCTCATGGTCAAAGGGGCCGAGGAGTCCATGGTTGCGTCCGAGAAGGATCTCGAGACCCTGGCGTATGAAGTGGCTTCTGGGAAAAATAACTACCTCCACCGGGGAGGGTTCTCCCCGAACCAACTCGTTTTCGGTCGCAACCCAAGAATGCCGCAGGACATTTTATCTGACGACGGAGTGAATCAGGTCGGGCTCGACGATCTCGCCGAGAGCTCTTGGGGCCAAGACACGGCGGCGGCTGATTTCTCGAGATCGATGGCGATTCGTAGGTATGCCAGGTCCCGTCTCTTCGAGACATCGAGTAGGAACTGCCTCCGTGAGGCGGCCAGTGCTCCTCGGCACCGGGATCAAAAATACGCTCCAGGAGACTGGGTGTACGTGTGGAGGAGAGCCCACAGGACCGGGAAAACATACGGCCTCCAGCGCGACCGGTGGACAGGACCGGGCATGGTGATATATCAGTACAACAATACCGCCTGGGTCAGCATGAGGTCCAGACTCTGGAAGTGCGCTTCTGAGCAACTCCGGCCCGCCACGGGCCCCGAGGCCCGAGGGGCCGAGCTCCTGAGCGATCCGGGGGTGTCCGAGTTGGTGCGACAGGTCCAGTCAGGAACTCAGCGGGCGGGAGTGGACGTGGCCCGAGAGGGCCCACCGCCTCCGGAGGCCTGGGAGGCTCCCGTGGAACCCAGCACCCAGGACTCAAGCGTCCGACTGCCGATCATGCCCTCCATAAGGCAGCTCCCTCCGACTGCAGCACCCGGCCACCTAGCCGGCCCGGGCATCCAGCCAGGCGCCGTGCAACAACCTCGCGACGGTGTACATTATACGACAGGGCGTGGCCCCGGGTGTTCCATCGGAGGAAGGTCCCGTTTCCGAGAGTCCCGGGTCCACGGTGGTCCCGGCCCCCGCGTCCAGGGCTGACTCTGAGGTCTCAGGAGCGACCACCTTCCCCGGGAACGAAATCTCTCAAGCGGTTGGATCGGCGGCCCGGAGCCTTCGAGATCTGGAGCACGGTCCCCGGCCTGGAGGATCAGCACGGGAGGACCCGGTCCGACAGGCTTCTGCAGCGGCCATCGGCAACGCCTCTTTGGGGCCTGGCAGAGATGAGGACCCGGACCAAATTGTTAGAGAGTCTCGAAGGGCGGTGGTTCTGAACGAGCAGCTTGACCTCGGCACAGCCCGAGCTACCAGGAGGAGGGTCGAGTCAGCTCGATCTGTCCCCGAGGGTCCCAGAGACGAACGTCTCGCTCGTTTCAGAGACCGTCTGCACAGACTCCCCGTTCCCATCGAGCTGGACCAGGCGCGGGAAGGGAGAGTCGGTCGTGTCGTCGCCGCCTGGGAAGGAATAGAGGGCAGAGATTCTCAGGACAGGTCCCGAAGTCCAGGAGCGGCACCGGACTCGAGCGAGCGGCCAGTTCAGGAAGCCATGGAAACCGACTCGGGTTTGTCCCTTTTCTCTCTCTCGTCGCCTGAGCTGGACTCGTATTTCGATTCTGTGAACAAGGGTCTGTGGGACCGCGGCTGGAGCGGAGACTGGGCGAATTTCGCGGCCGGGGACGCCGATATTGAACTGATTCCCGGCGAAGGGGAAGAGGGGGCAGGCACGCTCACTCTCGCCACGTCCAGAGGAGGGGAGATCTCCCTTAGGAAGCTCTCAGAGAGCGAGGCCGAAGAGTTCGCCGAGGCTGACGCTAAAGAATGGAGGAATATTTCGGGGACCGGGGCCGTCAAGGTCCATCCGCCGGAGGAAGGGAAGCGCCTCCGGCGAGCCTTTCCGTCGCGGGTCGTTTCGTCCAGGATGGTGCGAAGGTGGAAGCCCCAGGAAGGGGTTTTCTCTCGGCCGGTGGCGAAGTCTAGGTGGTGCGTCAGAGGCCACGAGGACGCCGACACCCACGAGTTACGGATCTACGCCCCCACGCCCCAGATGGAAGCACTTATGCTCTTTCTGGCCACCTCCATTGCTCTAGGTCACGATCTCATGATCGGGGATCTCAAGAACGCGTTCTGTCAGTCGGACCCTCTACGACGACCACGTGGACGGGTGTTCGTGGAACCCTGTGAGGGTCTGAACCTTCCCTCGGGCAGTCTCATAGAACTAATAGCACCAGTATACGGTCTGGACGACGCGCCGCTAGCGTTACACCACACGACAGTACGCTTCTTCGAGAGCCTGGGATATGTTAAGACCAAGCTGGAACCCTGTTGGATGGTGAGGCGCTCCAAGGACGGTCCCGACGCCATGGTACTCATAGAAGTAGATGACTGGGCTATATCCACCGCACCAGGAGTACAGCAAGCTCAGCTAGATTTATTTAAGAAGAGGTTTACCTTTGGGAAGCTGCGGACTGTAGACAGTACGGGGGTGGACTATATCGGGAGAAGGGTGCGTCGTCTACACGACAGGGTGCTAGTGGACCAGGAGAAATACATCCTCGAACAGATAAAGCGATTACATGTCCCACGCGAGCAACGGTCTCGACACGAGCTGCCCCTGTTAGGTCCACAGGTAAGTGAGTTCCGGTCCTTCATATATCGGCTGAATTGGGTGGGGAGGGAGACTCGTCCGGGAGCCAGTGGGACAGCATCTCTGTTAGCCAGCAAAGTAAATTGCCCCACGGTGGGGGACGCCCTAGTGGCGAACAAGATGGTGGACTACTTACGGAGCTCTGCCAGCCTACCCATCACGATATGGAAGCACAGGATTGGGAGGATTGTGTTTGCGACTGCGTCGGACTGTGGGGGGGTCGGCGCCAAGTCCGGGGAGCGTCCGCAACAAGCATGGCAGGTATACATGGCAGACGACAGCATAGCGTCCGGGGTGAGATCCAGGGTATCGCCACTGTCGTGGCGCTCGTGCAGGATTCGGAGACAGGTGCCGTCCACTTTGGCTGGAGAAGTGCAATCCTTGAGTGCTGCCCTTGCAGAGGCCGAGTGGATGCAGTTGTTGTTTCAGGATGCAGTTTTCGGCACGGTTATCGACGAGTGTTGGCAGGGCAAGGTAGGCCCCTTTGCATCCTTGCTGAGAAAAGATTGCACCCTCAACACCCAGCCCACCAACAACCTGGCCATCGTCGATGCCAAGGGGATTTTCGA